CCATCCAGGGACCCGGGGAAGTGGGTCCCGGTTTCGTACCCCCCCTGAAGCTTAAATTCTGAAGCTGAAATTCGGCGCCTAAATTCGGTCGGTGCTGGCTGAAGCCGAAAATCGGCTGACGCTCGAATTCGGCGCCGATATTCGATCTGGCAAGCTGGTGAAGCCGACAATGGTCCTGACGCCTAAATTCGGCGCTGAAGCTGAAATTCGATCTTGAACTGGGAGTGATGGGCCCCCCTGATTATTTAAATCAGAAATCTGACAGATCCTTAACTCCGACGATAGGGCCTTGGACTGATCAGGCGACCCTGATTTTTTGAGAACAGAACTCCCCAACACCACATGAGGAAGTACGGGAAGTACCCGCAGTCCGGAAGATCGAGAACCTCGCCAGATCCACGACCCGGCTCCGGCTCCGGCTCAGCAGCTGGATTTCGCGTATGGATCTTGAACTCCGAGAGTAAGGCCTTGGACGCGCCCCTGATGTTAATTTTTCTCAAAACCCCTACAAATCTTATTTAACTCCAAGGGTGGAGCTTTGGACTGGTGGGCCAAACCTGATTTTTATGTCAGAACCTTTGAAGATCTTGAACTCCGAGAAAAGGCTTGAAGTGATGGGGCGGCCCTGATTTTAAATCAGAACCCTTATGGATCTTGAACTCCGAGGATAAGGCCTTGGACTGCGCCCCTGATTTTTTAAACAAAAGTCTCATAGATCTTGAACTCTGAGGATAGGACCTTGGACCAATGGCGCACCCCTGATGTCTAAATCAGAGATAGATCTTGACCTCTGAGAATAAGGCCTTGGACTGATGGAGCGCCCCGGGTTTTTAATCAGACCTCACACAGACCTTGAACTCCGAGGGTGGGGCTTTGGACTGACGGGTCGCCCTATTTTTAAGGCAGAATCTTCAAAGATCTTGAGCTGGGAATGATGGGCCCCCTGATTTTTTAAATCAGAAATCTGACAGATCTTGAACTCCGAGGATAAGGCCTTGGACTGATGGGGCGACCGTGTCTTCAAGCAGAACTCGTAAGGATCCTGAACTCCGAGGGTACGGCCTTGGACTGCTGGGGCGCCTCTGATTTATTCAAGAACAACTCTTATATAGGTCATTGTACTCTGAGAATAAGGCTTTGGTCTGACGGCACGCCCCTGATGTCAACATCAGAACCATCACCAATCTATCACTCCGAGGGTGGGGCCTTGGGCTGGTGGGCCGCTCCTGGTTTTTAAATCAGAACTCCTATAGATCTTGAACTCCGAATAGAAGGCCTTGGACTGATGGAGCGCCCTTGATTGTTTAAAACAGAACTCTCATAGATCTTGAACTCTGAGGATAGGACCTTAATTAGGACCAATGGCGCACCCCTGATGTCTAAATCAGAACTCGTATAGATCTTGAACTCCGAAGATAAAGCCTTGCACTGATGGTGCACCCCTGATTTTACCAACAGAACTCTGATAGATCTTGACCTCTGAGAATAAGGCCTTGGACTGATGGAGCGCCCCTGATTTTTAATCAGACCTCATACAGATCTTGAACTCCGAGGGTGGGGCTTTGGGCTGATGGGTCGCCCTAATTTTAAGGCAGAACCTTCAAAGATCTTGAATTGGGAATGATGGCCCCCCCTGATTTTTTAAGTCAGAAATCTGACAGATCTTGAACTCCGAGCATAGGGCCTTGGACTGATGGGGCGACCCTGATTTTTTCAAGCAGAACTCGTATGGATCTTGAACTCCGAGGGTGGGGCCTTGGACTGATGGGGCGCCCCTGATGTAATCAAAAGAACTCGTATATTATAGGTCTTGAACTCTGAGAATAAGGCCTTGGACTGATGTTTTTTTTGTTGAGCGCCTTTTTCCCCCTCGCAGTCAAGGTCAGGCGAGTCCACCTTTGTGGAAGGCTACCGTCGCGCCCGGGTTTAGGGTTTAGGGTTTAGGGGCCGAATTTCGTCTTCAGAGTCGAATTTGGTCTTCAGGTCCGAGTTTCGTCTTCGCGACCGAATTTCGTCTTCAGGGCCGAATGTCGTCTTCAGGGGCGAATTTCGTCTTCGCGGCCAAGTAATTTCGTCTTCAGGGCCGAATTTCGTCTTCAGGGGCGAATTTCGTCTTCGTCTTCAGGGGCGAATTTCGTCTTCGTCTTCAGGGGCGAATTTCGTCTTCAGGTTCAGAGGCGAATGTCGTCTTCAGGGCAGAATTTCGTCTTCAGGGCCGAATGTCGTCTTCAGGGCCGAATTGCGTCTTCAGGGCAGAATTTCGTCTTCAGAGCCGAATTTCGTCTTCAGAGCCGAAATTCGTCTTCAGGGCCGAATTTCGGCTTCAGGGCCGAATTTCGGCTTGAGGGCCGAATTCCGGCTTCAGGGCCGAATTTCGGCTTCAGGGCCAAATTTCGTCTACGCGGCCGAATTTCGTCTTCAGGGCCGAATGTCTCATCTTCAGAAAAGCATTCCAGAGCCTTCAACGCTGAATAATTCTGTCTTCGGGCCGAATTTCGTTTCAGGGCGAATTTCGTCTTCAGGACCGAATTTCGTCTGCGTGCAGCAAACCAAATTTCGTCTTCACCGGAATTTCGTCTTCATGGCCGGTTTTCGTCTTCAAATTTCGTCTTCGCGCGCAATTTGAGCTTCAGCTCCTTGCGAACAATTTCGTCTTCAAAAGCTTCGGAATTTAAGCTTCAGGGGGCGGGACCGACTTTCCCGGGTCAATGCATATGTCACCGTCTGTTTTGGATATCATTAGGTTTCTGGAAGGCTTGTTTTGTGTGTGTTAGCTGACCCCTTCAGGCGCACAGACCCTTGAAGAGATTGCCTGTTGCATCGCGAGAATTCCCGGTTCATCTTTTAATTATTGTTGCTACACTTACAATAAGCAACATATAGCAACATATAGCAACGATCCCCGCAAAGGAAGAGAGATCGTCGTCGGTCGTTGCTCACCGGAAACAGCCGGGAGGGCTGGAAGCTTTACGGGGCTAAGGGGTGAAGTTTCGGTGTTCTCGGTTTAGGGTTTGGGTTTAAGGGTGTTTAAGGCTTACCGGTTTTGGGGATATAGGGTAAGGGTTTAGGGGTTAGGGTGTAGGGATGTTTAGGGTTAACGGTTAAGGCTAGGATTTAGGAAAGGTGCAGGGTGTAGTTAGGGGTGTGTAAGGTAGGTTTAAGGTTACGGGCTTGCTGGCGCTGGAAAGATCCCAAAACTCATTTTGTGTCTATGTTCACAGCGAATCCTCAAGATTCGGAGTTTTGACATTGTACAGATTGTACACCTGCAGTTACATGTAAAACTGATCCAAGCTCTTGGCCCCAAAACCAAAAAAAACGTCAACAATTCTTAATCTGATCCTGTTGAACGAAGGGTTCTTTGAACCTTGGGGTTTGAGGCATTCAACTCAAGCTGTATGTTCTGGTCGGGAATTTCCGAATGCAATAGGGTTTGCAGGGTTCCTTATCCCCAAACCCCCGATCCAGCCGAAACGAAGCACCCGCAATCACCGAAATACCGACAGCGAATAGTGCACAATAACAGCAACTGTTTGCCGTCGCCACCTTTTTCAGTACAAACCAGAGAATGAGCTGTGTGGTGCACGTGCGGGTTAAACTTACGGACTTTGTTCTTTTTTTGCTCAAGTTGTACAGCTTGAGTTGAATGCCTCAGACCCCAAGGTTCAAAGAACCCTTCGTTCAACAGGATCAGATTAAGAATTGTTGACGTTTTTTGGTTTTTGGGCCAAGAGCTTGGATCAGTTTTACATGTAACTGCAGGTGTACAATCTGTACAATGTCAAAACTCCGAATCTTGAGGATTCGCTGTGAACATAGACACAAAATGAGTCTTGGGATCTTTCCAGCGCCAGCAAGCCCGTAACCTTAAACCTACCTTACACACCCCTAACTAAACCCTGCACCTTTCCTAAATCCTAGCCTTAACCGTCAACCCTAAACATCCCTACACCCTAACCCCTAAACCCTTACCCTATATCCCCAAAACCGGTAAGGCTTAAATCGCGGATCCACTTTTGGTGGAGTGGTTCTAGTTCGGACACGCAAACCTCCGATCTACCTTTCGGATCCGGCCCGGGGTCTGGGAAATCATGACATGCGCGAACATGGGAATCCCCATTGACCCGCGCCCTTCAGAAGCAGGAGCGCTGAGGGTTTCAAAAAGGATTTTCAACATTCAGGCCCTGGGGCTTCAGGGTATAAGGCGCACGGTGAAGGGTTCTAGGCTTTACAGGCGGGCCCGGAAGATACAGCACCCTCCTTGTTCCCCAAGTGGACGCACGATTTCACAAGCGCCGCTCAAGGAACACGTCATTGGCATCACAATGTGCCCAAAAACTTCAGGAACACCAGCCACTCGCCATGCAAACGCTCGATTTCACAAGCACCCACGCACAACAAACCGCAGAATCAGTGCAGTTCAACACTTGGCATTCCCCAACGTTTGACAAGCACCCGCTGAAGACACACATCATTGGCATCACAGCGCACGAATGCTTGAAGAACGGCCAGCCACTCCCCATGCAAACGCTCGATTTCACAAGGTGGCGATCAGGCTGACCGAGACAACGTGAGCACAACAAGCATATAAGAAACATGTAGTGTAACCCTGTTTTCCCCGATAGTGACGCATGCCACGACCGGGACGCGGCAAAGCCCTTGCGTTTGTTCTGCGGCCGGCGAAACAGCTACAAAACACCCATTCCAGACAGCCTGTTCGACTGTGTTGAAAGTAGACGCCGTCGCAGAATGTGTTACAAAGCACATAACACTGGCAGGCGATTTGTCCTTCCCGGACAGTCGAGTGAGTCGAGTCCACCAATCACCAAACATCTAAACCCCCATCTACATGCAGGGAGAAACCAGCGACGAGATCACGAACAGGCGCTAAAACCCATCTAAGACAACCACCAGCCAAAACTTCATGACTAATTACTTATGAATACCGCCTCACTGTATCGATGGGGCTAGGATATGCTTATGGGCATGGGTTTTTTCTTATGCGGACGGTTTCTCCTCCCCTTATGCGACCGGCTTTTCCTTATGCTGACGGTTTCCCCTCTTATGCTCATCTGGCTTTTCCTTATGCTGTCTGCTCCCCCCCTATCCTTACGCTTGACTCCGCCCCCCTGACCTCTGCCCTGTTCTCCCTGCTCTCCTGTCCTGCCCTTGCCTTCCCTCTCCTGTGCCAGGCACGAGGGAAGGCAAGCTATCGGGGAAGCCCCTTGTACGGGGTCTTCTTTTGCAGCAAGCCATTGGAAGATCCCAGTCGAGTGGAGAAGTCCCAGTCATTAAAGGGTTTTCCTCTGCAGTAAGCTATTGGGGAAGTCCCGTTTATATAGTCTCCTTCTGCAGCAAGCTACTGGAGAAGGTTCATTTGTGGGCTGTCTTTTGCAACAAGCTATTGGGGAAGTCCCATTTCTGGTGTCTTCTTTTGCCGCTTGAAAGATCAAGCTTGATGCACATGCTCGTGCACGCATTGTCCATGGGCCTGACGTCGGTGTGGTCTATGCCTGGAGTTCAGCTGCGATTCGGGGCAGCTACACAACCTGGTCAAGAGATTGAGGCAGAAGCATGGCACTGCCTCAAGTGCCAAGCCTGTTCCAATTGAGGCCTTCTTGGCTGAGGTGAAGTCGTGGCAGGCTGATTTGCCGAAGGACTTGTCTGCTGGAGACCTGTCACAGCTGCTGGTGTTAAAGTCACCTAAGGGTGTGGTCGTCGAGGAAGGCAGGATCTACGTCCCGTTATCGTGCCCTGGCATGCTGCTGCGCTTGAAAGATGCCGCAAAGCATCGCATTCGCCTCATGGTTGATATGAAAATGGGAGCTATCGCTAACAACTATGGTGTTGTGACCTTATGCCTTGCGGCTCGCAGTCTACGTCCGTCCAACACAAGTGCTGCCTTGATCGCAGGCACAGACGCCAGCAGTACAAAGCTCACACGTCCAATGCGCAGCCCGTCATTGGCCCGTCATGCAAGCGATTGTGAGCAGCGAGTCAGAGGAGAACGTGACGGAGATTTTCGAGGATCTCTGCTGGCATTGCAAAGACATCGCAAACTTTGATCTAAAGTCGCAGCTTGTCCAAGTGCATGCCGACTATGCGCCGGGCATCGCTGCTGCGCGCCGCGCCGTGTTTCCAACTGCGAGACTGGTGGGGGATTACTTCCACTACAAGCAGGCTTTGGCCCGCACCCTCCCTAAGAAGTTTGGTCAATCAGCAAAGAAGGCACCGGGCAGAAAGAAGCCGGATCCAGCCGTGGCCAACGTCATGACGCTGTCGGTCATGACGAGGCTGCTGCAGACTGCAGTCCGTACAGTCCGTAGTTGTTTATGTCAACGTTGGCGCAAGAAGAGCGTGCGTTTGAGTGCAGGTGCCTGCCGACGTTGCACCTGGCAGATACTATCTGGCAGGTCATCTTTGGGGAGCTGCCTGCAGACGTGGCCAAGTACCTTCAGCGTCAGTTCTTTGCGCAGGGCACTGTGCCGTACATCCAGCGCGTCTTCAAAAGTGTCCGGGCTCCGGCACCCAGCGCCAAGAAACTTTGGGTGCCAAGCTTCTGGGTGGGCATCCTCGGCACCAGCCCGGGCAATGGCGGCGGTACAAACCCCTTAGAGGCACGACATGCATCGTGGGAGGCGGAATTGAAAAGTCGCACCAAGGATGGTAATTTTCACCTGCACCGCCACCTCAACACCAACCGGTGCTAACTTCAAGATTGGCGAGATAGGTGCGGGGTTTACAGTAAATCGTGGTCAGATCACTAGCAGAAGCGGAAAACTCAGAATTTAGGCAATTGGAATATCCGTTGATAGAACCCTGGGCCCCGCGATCTAAATCACAAGCCCACAGGTCGGCTGGGCCTAAGCCTAGGCCTACATCCGCACAAGGTTAGATGCCCCACTAAGTAATCTACTACACGTACACGGGTTGTGCCAACGACACTCTCAAACCTGCCAACCTGTGCGGAGGTTTCGGAAGGTCAGAGAGTTTAGGGGTTCATGTTTGTGTTTGCATGGACTGGGCTTTATAGAGCTCCGGTTTACGGTTGACAGTTGACAGTGACAGCTGCGATGTACGGGATTGTTTCAGAACCCTGCCTGCCAGCTCGTTTGTCATATCATGTGTTGTATATATGTACACATAGTTATCATATCATATATCGAACACCACATGTCATATATGAGACTTCATATCTGCAATATGTGTAAAAAGTATATGTGTATGTATGCACGTATGCAGGTATGTAATGTATGTCTGTATGGTAAGGCCGACGATCCTCTTCTCTAGCCAAACCCGCCCAGGACAGCTAAAACAAAAGCCAAGGCCATTTAGGGTTTTAAGGCGTTACGGTGTCGAGGCGTTTAAGGCTTTCGGGGTCTAGGGGTTTGAAGGGTTTAGGGTTTTACGGGTTTAAGGGATTCGGGAATTTAGAGTTATTAGGCCGGGGTCTTGCAGATGAGGGGGCTATGCAAGGGTTTGCAGGTTTAGGGAGTTAGGTGTTTGAGGGTTAAGGGCTTTAGAACGTTAAGGCTTTAGGGTGGGGACTACAGGCTGTACAGTTTTAGGCAAGTTTAGTTTCGAGATTTTGGAATTCAAGGCTGTAGGGGTCGGGGTCTGGGTGTAGTTTACGGTGTCTAAGGTTTTAGGGCCTCCGGTGGTAGGGGTACAGTCGGTCTTTGGAGTCTTTGGCCTTTGGCGGGTCTAGAGCTTTACAACTTCATTTTTCAAGGGCAAGGGGTTTAGAGTAGGTTCGGGTTTGGGGGTTTAGGGTGTGGGGCCTTAAAGCTCCAAACCTGCGAAGAACATTCCGGGTTCGGCTCTAGAGAAAACGTTAACCCCAACCCAAAAAATAAGTTCAACACCGGTGTTGAACTTAACTTTTGAAACGGTTTCGAGTTCAACACCGGTGTTGAACTTCCCGGCTTCAACCCTGACAAAAACGAGTTAGCACCGGGAAAAAATTTTAGTGCCAGCGAAAAAAGTTAAGTTCAACACCGGTGTTGAACTTCTCGGCTCTAACTTTTGAACCGGTTTATCTGCATAGGATTTCGGCTGCGCGAACACTGTTGGAGCCCGGAATAATTTTTAAAACTGCTTTTTCACTGGAATTAACTATTGTTTTGCGCTTTTGCCGCAGGAACATTTTCAAAAACAGCTTCAAGAGCAGTTATTCCGGGCTCCAACAGTGTTCGCGCAGCCGAAATCCTATGCAGATAAACCGGTTCAAAAGTTAGAGCCGAGAAGTTCAACACCGGTGTTGAACTTAACTTTTTTCGCTGGCACTAAAACTTTTTCCCGGCGCTAACTCGTTTTTGTCAGGGTTGAAGCCGGGAAGTTCAACACCGGTGTTGAACTCGAAACCGTTTCAAAAGTTAAGTTCAACACCGGTGTTGAACTTATTTTTTGGGTTGGGGTTAACGTTTTCTCTAGAGCCGAACTCGGAATGTTCTTCGCAGGTTTGGAGCTTTAAGGCCCCACACCCTAAACCCCAAAACCCGAACCTACTCTAAACCCCTTGCCCTTGAAAAATGAAGTTGTAAAGCTCTAGACCCGCCAAAGGCCAAAGACTCCAAAGACCGACTGTACCCCTACCACCGGAGGCCCTAAAACCCTAGACACCGTAAACTACACCCAGACCCCGACCCCTACAGCCCTGAATTCCAAAATCTCGAAAGCCTAAAAGCCCTAAACTTGCCTAAAACTGTAGAGCCTGTAGTCCCTACCCTAAAGCGCCTTAACGGCCTTAACGTTCTAAAGCCCTAAACCCTCAAACACCTAAGTCCCTAAACCCGCAAACCCTTGCATAGCCCCGTCATCTGCAAGACCCCGGCCCAATACCTCTAAATTCCCGAATCCCTTAAACCCGTAAAACCCTGAACCCTTTAAACCCCTAGACCCCGAAAGCCTTAAAAGCCTCGACACCGTAACGCCTTAAAGCCCTAAATGGCCTTGGCTTTTGTTTTAGCTTTCCTGGGCGGGTTTGGCTAGAGAAGAGGATCGTCGGCCTTACCATGCAGACATACATTACATACCTGCGTACGTGCATACATACACATATACTTTTTTACACATATTGCAGATATGAAGTTTCATATATGATATGTGATCTATGATGTATACTATATGATATATGGTGTGTGGTGTTTGATATATGATATGACATTTGTGTACATATTTAGACAGACATACATATATATATATATATATACAACACATGATATGATATATGAACTGGCAGGCAGGGTTCTGAAACAAGCCCGTGCATCGCAGCTGTCAACTGACAACCCTGTCCATGCAAACACAAACAACGAACCTCTAAACTCTCTGAACCTCCTAAACCTCTACACAGGTTGGGAGGTTTGAGAGTGTCGTTGGCACAACCCGTGTACGTGTAGGAGATTACGTCGTGTGGCATCTCCCTTGTGCGGATGTAGACCTAGGCTTAGGCCCAGGCGGCCTGTGGTCTTGTGATTTAGATCCCGCGGCCCAGGGTCTATCAAAGTATGTTCCAATTGCCTAAATTCTGAGTTTTCGGCTTATGCTAACGATCTGACCCCGATTTACTGCAAATCCCGAACCCATCTCCCCAATCTTAAAGTTAGCGCCGGTGTTAGGCCCCCCCAGGCGGTGCAGGTGAAAATTACCAACCAAGGACGGGCTTTTGACAGCCCTGTGCGGCATGCAGCACCTGTAATTACTCGAAATGGGTGACAGTCTTCGAGTGGGGCAAGCCTATGCGAATGTCCGCTTTCTTTGCTGACGAGAACGAGTATTTGCTGAACAGTGCGAGCCTGCGGTCGCAAGCGCGCTCCCCAGCCATAGACTATTGGAAGGGGCTCCAGAACCAGAACTACATCAAGCTTCGCATTTGCTGCTTGACAGGGATAATGATATGCCGGAAGGTGTGCGGAAATCTGGGAGCCGTGATTATGCGAAGCTATGTCAGACTCTAAGGCACTGGAACGCCACATGGGTCAAGCACGGCAGAGTCCGAGTACACCACATTCTGGGTCATGGCATCGCCGACGGCGCCTGTAAGCGAGGCAAGTCCACGGGCAGGGAAGGGACATATATAGCTGCGTAGCTGCGATGCACACCATGTCCCTGGCCACACCGGCGCTTGCGCGCACGTTGTGCGCGATGCTTTACAAGGACGGCGCGGATCTGACGGCCCTGCTCGAGGCTTCCGGCATCTTGGAAGTGCAAGAAGGGGGCCACCACGTCCTGAATCGCAAGGCGTTGAAAAAGTATTTCGTCGACCATGTTGTAGTGTGTGAGGGCCACTGTGTGAACGCCTACTGGCCCCGCGGTCGCCACGGCGATCATGTGTACAAAGTCTGCACCTGCGTCAACTATGCCCTGCACGCAGAGTGCGAGCACGTGAAGTACGCTTGCGCTCTGTGTGGGGGGCCACCCAATCTCAACAGCGTGCCGGAAACAAAGCCGCGCGGTCGCAAGAGAAAACATGGGCAACGATGAGTAACCGCGAGACAGCCTCGCAGTTGGACTTACTGAGCCAGGCACTGAGCCATAGATCCTTCTGAAAAGGTGCCACAAGGGACGACCCCAAGCCCCTGCAAGAACACCTCAATGAAGTTTGGTGGATGCCTTATATTTCTCTTGCGACATGTACATCAAGGTTTCGAGCTGTCCCGTGGTCCTATGCACAGACTACAGTGGGTCGCGGGACAGCTTCATTGACTGCTCACAGGACAGGCAGTGCGTGAGGAGCAGATCAGGTAAACCTGCTGTTGCAGCTTTCCAGCAGCCACTCCCAAACACGTCCTTTCTGTGTAGCCATCTGGCTCTTTCAGGTCCTTGCCTCGGCTGCGGCTCCGTGGAGGCTTGTCTTCCAGAAGGGTCAAGGGTTCGGGCCGTCCCCAACGTCCCCAGATGTGCAGCGGAGCCTGCGCCCGACACGCAGGAGTCACCGCAGCCGAGCGTGGAGCCACCGAGTTTCATCGGATCCCGGGTTCCATTGCATCGTGCGTCGTGCACATGGCCCTTTCTTTTGGAATGCCACGGGAGGATCATGAAGGCCCGTCCGCACGACGCAATGCTTCGCGCAAACTCGGCGTTGTGATAGGCGCTCCAGAGTCAACATGGTCGTTCACCACATCTTGCACCTCTGCTGAAAGTAGCCGACCGCCTTGCGCTAAAGCTTTGCGGTCGTGCTGGCCACGACAATCCACGGTCACTTTCCCCTCGGCTGGACCACTTATCCATACAGCCACACGGGCACGGAAACTGCATCCAGGCTTACATTCAGCACAGGCCCCCCACAACTTGTAGGCCGCATCGCCACCTTCTGTGACTGTCCGCTTTGTTGTAAAAGCACTGCTGCACGGCTTTCGTGCCTTCTGGCACACGCCCCTCGCCAGACTCGTTGCATCCGCGAGGTTCGAGGGCAACACCTCTGCTAAACCGCTGTAGATGTTCTCGTAGTCCGGGTTGCCCGAATCATCCGTCTTGCTGGAGAGCTGCGACTGAGGCCGGCCCTTCGCCGCTTCAGCAAGGCTCGAGGGCTGTGTCGGCATCGGGCCACTGTCATGCTCTGGATTGTCCGTCTTGCTGGGCGCCTGGGGAGACAGCCGGGCCTGCTGGACGATCCTCCGCTCGTCTTGCCCTGAAGCAGTTTGTGACACACACTCCAAAAAGCCTTCGAAGAAGTGTAGTGGAACACCCCATGCGCGGAGTGTGCTTTGTGCTTGCGCTGACATGTTTGTCCACCGGTGTTTGATGAATATTGGCCATGCCTTGGGGCTTGCACGCATAATGCCTATTACGTGCCGCTCGAGGTGTTGGCAAGTCGAGAGCAGCTTCCTGTACGCGTCCTCGCGCTTGGCCTTGTCCTCGCTGTAGACATGGCGGTACATGGGCACGTACCGGCCGGCACTGTCCGCGAAAACTCTTGCACCGGGTGATGCACGCAGAAGCTTCACGGCGACCTTATTTCACTACTCCTCAAAGCTCTGCAACGTTACACAGTCGCACTATCACTATCCAACACCAACAGCGGTCTCTTGCACGCCTAATACTGCGTCTGCGCCGGAGACCACCTCCTTGTAGGGACCCACTGAACGCCGCACACCTGCACCTTCTCTCGCGCGCCAGCTTGCGCGACTGATGTCCACATCCAACATGTTGAAGCCCCTCGCCAGCCGGCAATGGGTCCACTCCAAAGCCAGCTTTGCAGCGTGGGCATCAATTCTGCGGTCCGAGAAGTCACACGGTCGCTTCTCTGTCAGGCCAGCAATTGCCTCCTGCACCAAGCTCGTCAGCAGACCTGCATGCACTCGTACTTCACTCGCACTGCCCCCTACCGACCGAGACAGGCATGTTCCATCATGGAAGTGCTCTGCCCTACCAACCTACGCAAGCTTGCCTTCGTGGGTCCAGAAGAAGTAGGACAACTTCTCCAGCTTGCTATTGACGGTGCCGCCGTCGGAATAAAAAGCATCTTGCGAAGCCTCGTGCATGGCCCCGCGTGCCTCCTCCATCGCAGCCTTCGCTGCATCGTCGAGCTTCCATACGAGGTCCCTACCGATCAGAGGCACCTTATGGCCGACATGCAGTACCAATCGCCCGAACAGCTGCCCCATGAATTCAACGAACTTGTCGCGGAGGCCCTTGGGGTAGGACAGCTGACTTCCTCGGCGACCTGCTGAAAAGACGCAACCTCAGACACACTGCAAGTCTTCGCTTCACAACCCTCATCTTTTCAGCGGCTTTCCTGCCTTCTCGCCAAGGCACGATTTGCCAGACCGATCTTGTGCCGTGCTTCACTCGGTGCCCACCACGTGCTCAGGACCGAAGGCTGCTGCAAGAGTACCATTCCAATGTTCGTGCACTCGAAGTGCACCCCACATTCCTGCCTGTCTTCGTGCCCTACTATCTTCCGTGCCTTGGTCGGGCGGGCCAGTACATCGGCCTGGGTGTCCCAGTCACACCGACCCCCATGTGCCGCCTCCAGCAGCCGTGTCAAGACTATGTGCGTGTCTTTCGTGAACTTGCCGGACTTCGCATACTCTAGACACAAGAAAGCCGATCCTTCGGCACCGCATATCACTTGAATTTACATTACTTCAGCAACACTCACACCTGCACAACCTTCCTCCTTGTCTGCGCCCTGCGGATGCTGCCATGGCACGAGTGCGCGCGAAGGCTTCCCGTACCGTTTTCAGCACCGGCGACTTTCCGGTGCCGATGTTGGTCACTACTTGGGCCCAGTATCAATGCGACAAAGTGTAGTCACTCCATTCGACACACAGCTTGCGATGCAGCAATGACGACGCAAAGGCTTTGAAGGTCTCCAAAAGCATGTCTGGCGAAAGTGCCACGACTCGTCCGAAGGCTTCCATGTTAAGACGGAGAGCCGGTAGTCTGTGCTCCACCACAATGGAGCGCACACATCCACCTCCTCTGCTGCTGTCAGGGCACCTTCCCGGACGCCCCGCAGGCCAGCCGCCAAACGCGACAAGCATTGCTGCAGGCTTAACTGGTCCACATGGTCGCTGCGAGGTGGCACACCAGCCAGCGCCTCCGAAACTGGTCCCTCGCAAGCTGCCCTCAGAAACCTCACCACATCTTCTTCGAACTGACGCTGTGGATCCTGCTCAAGCCACTCCGTTCCCTCGCACCGGCCCTCCAACGGCTTTGCAGCCGAGGGGAGCAGTCCATCTAGACACGCTGCTCCTCCAACACCAGCAGCAGCTGTCTCCGTTCAGGCGTTGTGCTGAGAGTTTTGCCCGAGTTCTCCAGCTGTAGGCTGTCACTCTGCTTGCTGGCACTGACACTGCTCCCAACAGCTGCGGCTGCCTCGATCTTGTTGTCACCATTGCCAGCAATCGCGGCCTGCGCTGCCTTCCCTGCGCCGGAGCGGTTCTCGGCTTGCTCAGGTCTGACCACCGCATTCTCGACACTGATGATCCCCGCTTCTGCTGACGTGCCGCCATCCACCTGTGTGGCCGACACGTTTTCACATGGACTTGCTGTGCCCCCGTGGACCCTCTCCAGGACTGCTACGTACAGGTTCTGTGAGCGGGAGTTGACATCAGTATCTCGCACGCCTGTGTCGTCGTAGAGCACCCAGCACGGGTGGCCGCGGCAAAGGAGGGCATAGTAGTGACCTGAAGTCGTGCTTTCGCCGACATGGTGCACCAGGCTGCTGACATGGTACTCTTCGCCTTGCACGAAGACACGACCTGATACCTCCACACGCTGCTCATTCTTCTTTTCCAAATAGCAGCCCTCCACCAGCTCGGTATCCCACCGTTTTAGGGTAACCACCAGGATCTCCGGCGACCGCAGGATGCGAAGCCGGCGCCATGGTGCTACGCGGCTGGCACATTCTGGACATTGCCATGCTTCACCGTTCACGTGCAGGCCCTGGGGTGCCTCCTGGTTGGCCAGATACTTATCAACCACTTCCTGCAACTGCACATCCTCACTCTTGCCCGGAATGGGCATGAGTGCCTGCGACATCGGCGTTGCCACCCCACTTGCAACCTCCGCGCCGCATTCGCGACACTGCACTTGGAACTGTTCTGTTCCTGCTGTCGCCGTGTCCAACCCAGCCTCACTCAAGATCTGGTTGAGAAATTCTGAGCTGTCCTCCTGCGCCCCACGATACCATTGCCGCAGGATGCACTTTGGCTCCACGCACCTGCCACCACGAGCAGCATTCATCATGTCCGTCAGGACCTGACTCAATTGCTGAGCCACCTCGTTCTCTGAGGCGCGCATCGCTCGGCGCCAGGCTGCTGTGTTGAAGAGGGCCTGGAGTGCTGCATTGATGAAGCAGCTGTTAAGTCTATTTGGTTGGTTTTGGCCCTCTAACATTTACGTTTGACCCTTTGCTTCTGGGGCTTGTCCAAGACTTCAACATGAGTAGTTCGGCTCAAACTCAAAACCCAAACCTTTGCTGTTGGGACCCAACCTTTGCTGTTGGGACCCATAAACCCACACAAGCCACCACTTGGCAATGAGCAGTCCGGCTCAAACCCAACTTAGCAATGATTGAGTAGTCCGGCTCAAACTCAGAATACAAGCCACGACTTGGCAATGAGTAGCCCGGCTCAAAGCCAACTTAGCAATGATTGAGTAGTCCGGCTCAAACTCAGAATACAAGCCACGACTTGGCAATGAGTAGTCCGGCTCAAACCCAACTTAGCAATGATTGAGTAGTCCGGCTCAAACTCAGAATGCAAGCCGCGACTTGGCAATGAGTAGTCCGGCTCAAACCCAACTTAGCAATGATGGAGTAGTCCGGCTCAAACTCAGAATGCAAGCCACGACTTGGCAATGAGTAGTCCGGCTCAAACCCAACTTAGCAATGATTGAGTAGTCCGGCTCAAACTCAGAATACAAGCCACGACTTGGCAATGAGTAGTCCGGCTCAAACCCAACCTAGCAATGATTGAGTAGTCCGGCTCAAACTCAGAATACAAGCCACGACTTGGCAATGAGTGGTCCGGCTCAAACCCAACTTAAAGCAATGATTGAGTAGTCCGGTTCAAACTCAAAAACCCAAACCTTTGCTGCTGGGAACCATAAATCTTGGCAATAATGTTAATAGTCCGGCTCAAACCCATAAGGGCACTTGACCCTCTGGACATTAGGCATTCTGCCGTGTCACCGTCCATGCGAAGCAAAAAAACTGAAACCCTAATGCAGGGGTCAATGAATAATCAACAAAAAATGACCCGAATCAGTCGATTGTCAAGCTTGACATGACTCAGCCAACCACTTTGATTTTCGCTGCCTTCTTGAGCCGAAATAATCTAGGGTCTTCTTATGGCTTAGGGTATTTCTTTTGCGGTCGTTCAGTGCGAATAATCAATAAATCGACGAACCTATCCATTGTCAAGCTTTTCTTTCAATCTTCAGGGAGCCAAACTGAACAACGACTCCATCACTCAATCACTTTGCCTTGAGCTTTGAGCCAAAAATTTAGGGCTTAGGGAATTTAGGGTAATAATTATCATTCTCGCTCTTCTTTCTCACTATCCGTCTCTCACTATCCGTCTTTCTCACACACTGAGACACACACAATTGCGCGCACTCAGCACACACGCACACACTGTGACTGCATTCGAATATCACTCACTTTCCGCGGCTTCGCACAAGCCTGTCGTTGACTTTAAAAGCCGTGCAGCACATGGCTGCATCGGTGCAGCAGCTTTCTGGCTTTCTCAACCTGTCGAATAATATGCGCCTCCCCGCAGCATCGAAAAGTTGTGGCTTAAATCGGCTTCGCTATCTTGCAATGGATGCAGATGAGATGAAGATGAAGTTCATAGCTGGGGGGGGCCAGCAACCAGAACTGAGACATATATATGCTCAGGTTTAGAACTGTGGGCCAAACACCTTTCATCGATGACGGAGCTAAGACTTGTTACACATTAGAAGCCATGCAGCACTTTGCTACATCAAGCTGCTGCCGTCTGTAAAGCAGCTGCACATGCAGCTGCTTTCTGAAGAACTGCCGGCCAAACATCCTTTGATCGATAGCGGAGCTTGCTGTTCAATGCGGTTTTATTCGTGGTAGACATCTGGCCTGTTTGCCCCAAGGAGCAGAGCCACATCAGATCAGCCGGTAGGCTTGGCCCTTCTGCAAGGTGAGATCGTTGGCCAAGACATACAAAGGCTTCTTTGGCGAGAGCTCCTTCCAAGAGTGGAAAGGGCTGCCGGATATAACAACTTGTTTTGCTCACGTGGGAACATAGATGTGCTACCTTGCGGAGGATAGATTTGTGCTACCTTGGGCAGGGGCCATGCTTAGCATACCTGATTTGTGACTTGAGCTGGGGCCATGCTTACTACCGATTTGTGCTACCTTGAACCGGGGCCATGCTTACCTGACTAGAAAGTAATTAAGCTCCTGATCGTCGTTGTTCCAGGAAACTCGCCAAGCAATCTTGAGAACCTTCTGATCCATCAATGCCCGGTTGCCGAAGTACGAAGCGAGGCCTGTGAACCGCAGGTCCGTCTTGCCCTTCAGCGAAGTGTACTTGAAGACCAGGGGATTGGCTGCATCCGGCGCCACATGGAAGGTATCAGTCTCCCCATCAGAGCCTGCCACACATATTGTTATCATGTTAAGTTTCTCTAGATCTTGAACATGCAGACCAAAGAAGTTTGTTTGCGATCACCGCGTGCCTGCAGGCCTTTCGCAGACATGTCCATTTATGGTAAAGTCGACCATTCCTGCAGCTTCAAACTCATGGCAGAGCTTGCGTAGGGGCACCGGATCTGTGTCGCGGAGTCGTCGCGATCCCTCCTGGCATTGAATTTCGTGGATCAGAGGGACGACAGGCAACACAGTCAAAACCCTACCACAAACTTAAACCCCAAACCTCAAGCCCCAAAACCCCCAACCCTAAGCCTAAGCCCAAACTCATACAAACAAAATGCCTGAAATCCTAAACCGCACACCCTTTGATCCAAATGAGCCCAATGACCCATACTTGAAGCTTTCGCCAGCTTTGCAACCCCAAGCCCACGAAAGAAAACATGAAGCCGACACTCCTCGCTGACTTCCAAAACGACCAAATCTTGGTCGGATTCCCAGCTGCACTGGATGCTTGTGGCATCTTTGAGGACTCCTGCACAGATGTGCGGGGGCTGATGGTGAGTTCCGATAAATCAACATAATAGAGAGGGTTGTGGGCTGTGGTGAGTTCCGATTCATCATAACATTGGCCGACACGACAAGGAGGCTAACTTCGTTTGACACAGTTTGACACATATTAATTATACAGCTACTATTCGGTACATTACCATCTGACGTGAACTAGAAACACTGCCTCCGACTTCTTGGGTTTTCAAATTCTTTCGGCATAAAGTCTTGGGGTTTAGGGATCGTTGTTGTTATTGTGGTTGTGGTGAATTCCCATCAATCATAGTCTGACACGATGAAGCAGTTGACGACTGCATTTGATACGAAGACTTGGGTAGTTTTAGGGTGAAGCATTGGTTAGTGGTTGTGTGTTCTTGGTGAGGGGCCTTCTGGATCCTGTCACCCATCGTTTTCACAGCTCTAGCAATCACAGGCTCTGTCAGCAGAAGCTTCGCACTGCGATGCAAGCCCCAAAACGAATCTTCTTCGATTGGCATGCCCGGGACTAAGGAATCATTCCATGGAATGGCTCCGGCCGGACATGCACAAAAGCCCTAAGCTCCTGCTATGACTGATTTAGCAAGCTTTTACTGGGACCAATCCAAACTGGGATGATGTTATGATCCTTACATCACATCATCGCAGGATCTACGCCCAGTGTCGGCGCTTCAGCTGGGTTTCCGTCAGGTTCTCAGCAGCCTTCACTCGGGCTGGGTGCGTCTTCCACCTGGGCTTTTTTGTTGGTTTCAAGGTTGAAAGAAGCCTCGGGAGTTAGTGTTGTTGAGCTAGGTTTCAGCTCGGAGCTTTTGGGGTCTAGGGTTTCTGGGGTTGGCTTGAAGCACGAAGCTTGTTTGGGGGATTGGGTTATTGGTGTTCAACTGGAAGCTGCATTGCCACACTCGGGTTGAACCTTTGGAAAGCTTCGGTAATTTGCTAATTTATTGGACTTGAAGCATCAGCTCGAGGTTTTTTGGGGTTTAGGGCTACGGTTCATTGGGTTTTGGACTTCACGGGGTTCGTGTTTAGTTGGCCTGAAGCACTCGAGCTTAAGGATTTTTGCAAACAAGACACTTCTGGCTGATCTCCTTCATCATCTCGCAAAACGGCATGCCGGTTTTCTTGAGCTCGGCCATCTGGGCGTCCCTGAACTCCGTCCACTGGCGCCCCAGGTAGGAGTCGCTTTCCCCTTAGGGGCTGCATCCGTCTCTGCCTGGTCCTTCGCCAGACTCTTGGCCTTCGCCTTTGCTTTCGCCTTGGTTTTTGGCGACGGTGTCTTGGAACTGGAACCGAAGCTTCTCTTGCGCTTCGTGGTTTTGGAGCTGCCCGTTGCACGCTCCTTCTCGTTCATCTCCTCGTCCGAGTTCACCTCTTCATACTCTTCCAACTCCTGAGTTTCCTCGGGCCCTTCCTCAGGCGAGCCCAGGCTCTCATCATCATCATCATCGTCCTTCTTGCTCGCCGCCTTCTTGGCATTCTTTGCCTGCTTGGCTTTTGTCTGTGCAAGCTTGCGTCGCTGCTGGGCTGTGCCGGCATTCTTGCTCACCACGAGGCACGACACGGCGGCCGCAAGGTCGATCACATCGCTCGCGGCCTTGCGTTCGGCCACCTTCTTAGGCTTGGCGGCCGGGCCAGGCTTCGCCTGCCCAAGAAACACACAAGGAATCTGGAATGAGGATTAACGGAGCCTGTGTAAACCCACTCGAAGTCTATTATTCTATTGCCTGCGTGCTGAACGACAAACTAACCAATAATGGCACCTTGAATTGAAAGTTTTTTCGGGTATGTTCTGATCTAAACGTAAGCTAGAATTGACTTCGGGGGTTCAGCATGAAAGGTTTCAGGGGCAACAGTCATTACTCGTCGTGATGTGGGGTTCGAGGTCTGGGCTTAAGGTTTAGGGGATTCAAGTTTTATTGGACTTGGAAAGGGTCCCAACCTTTACTCGAGGCCTCGCTGGCTGCGCCGCCATCGCCCGGCTTCTCTGCCTTCGCCTTCGCTGCCTTCTTCTCCTTGTTGACGAGTGCCTTGGCCTCAGCGATGTCGGCCTTCATGTGATCAAGATCAGCCTTTGTAGGCGTCTCAGCTGTGCTAAGCTCGCTTGTACTGGTGATAGCACGGCGGAAGG